CGTATACAGCAAAGCTCTGGAATTTTTTCCAAAAAAATAAATAAATTTAATTATTAATGTATTAATTTTCAATTTCTTTTAATTCGTTTTTTTTTTTTTTTTTTTTTTAGGTATGAAAAATTAACCTTTCACCACCGTGAAAATTAGCATTTGATGGCGGTTTTGGAACTTCTCTTTTATGCCTCCTATTATTCATAAGTTCGGCAATATAATCGGCAATCATCATTCCAGCAGCTCTACCCATTCCTCTATCAAGCGTCGGTGGTAAAACTCCATAAGGATTTTGATTATCGGTAAGTCCTAATTTATCAAATTGTACTGGAAAAAAAAAAAAAAAAAAAACAAATTTTTATTTAATCATCACTCTCTCTCCCACCTCTCCAACGACATACTCACTCGTAAACGGTAGACTAATTGACATATTTGATAGAAAACCATCAGGTGGATACCTGACAAATGGCAATCCCAATGTAGGAGTTATAACTAGTGTTGTACCCGGAGGTAGGGCCAAACGTCCATCGGAAGTCAGCCATAAAAGTCTTTTCTCTCGAGAATGTTTATTAGCGTTGCTGTTTCCTTGTTGTCCTTTGACTAACGGTATGGAAGCAGTCGCTAGCAAAACACCCACCCACATAAAATGCGCCCTTAATTCTTCCTTCATATTCTAAAAAAATAATAATAATAATAATCTCTCTCACCTCAGGAAAAGTAAAAATAAAAATTTATTTTAATTATAAAATCGTTTGTGACGTTTTTAAATCACACAAAATTCCCCACCCCCCCTTTCCCCTACCTCCTCCGATTATAATTAATTATTTTTAATTACTCTTTTTAATTTTTAATGTCAACTGTCAACATGATAAGTTATAAAATAATAATTATTATTATTATTATTTTAAAATCTTCGATATGAAGATTTACCAAAGAAAGGTAAAAAAATTTTTTTCTTTTTTTACTGTTAGAATTTTAACGTAATCATTAAATTTATATAAAAAAAAACTGTTTATTTTATGATGCAATAATAATAATAATTAAGTAGTTAGGTAAACGGGTAATAAGAGAGTCAGGTCGGAGACACGTGGGCAACCAAATTTATAACGGATAAAAATTATTATTATTTTAATTTAAATAAAATAATAATATTTTTTCGAGGGGAAAAAGAAGAAGAATTTTTTTATTTATACCGTATGAGGTTTTTTTTTTTTTTTTTCAATGTCGTGGCATTCACTATTGCGAAATGTAAAAGGAACGAGACTTTTTATTTAAAATGCTTTCGAAATAACTGTATTAAAAAAAAAAAAAAGTTGTTGTGGTGATGATAGACAGGATTTAAAAAAAACTAGTTTTTAATCCATAAAACTTTGCCATCCTTAACCGTCATTTTGTCGCTATTAAATAATTTTTTTTTTTTAAAATTTTACTCGAGTAATTGGTGGTGGTAGTAGTAGTCGTGGTGGCGGTGGTGGTGGTGATGATAATAATAATAATAAAATTATTTATTTATTATAATTTTATCACGATTTTTTTTTTTTTTTTTTTACTGTCGTTTCTACTGCGTACAGAAAACGTGACTTAACTTGACGATTATTTATAAATTTTACATTTTAGTACACAGACACACAAAATTTCACGTAGAATAGATATTTAATCATTATTATTATTATTATTATTATTAATATTTATATAAATATAAAAATTAAAAAAAAAAAAAAAGACAAATTACTTTGGGAAATAATTACATAATTTTAAATCGTTAAAATTACAACAACAAAGTATTAAAATCTTCTTTTTATATAAAATCGATATTCTTTCTAAAATAATCCGTTGTTTTGACTCTGAAGACTTTATAAAATGTCTTTATTAATAAAAATTCAAAACGAGATTTTTTTTTTTTTTTTTTTTTTTATGGTTAAAATGTAGAGCAACAACGAAAAAAACTCACAAACAGGTTTTTTAAAAAAAAAATTTCTTGATAAATTGTCAACTTGCAATTTCCGGTTTGATTAAAAAAAGAGGAAGTTGAACAGGTTTCCGATAAATATTATTATTATTATTATTATTATTATTATTATTATTATTATGCCTATGGAAAAAAACAAACGTTTGACCTCAGAATAAAAAAAAAAAAAAATAAAATAAAATAAAATCTCCCCCAATCTCGTGACGTATGTCACGTCCATTTAAAATGTCATTTTTATAATAATATGACGTATTTCCGGTACGAATTTATTACGTCAATAATAAAAGGATTAATTTTTATTTAAAAAAATTTTACATAGAGAGAGAGAGAGAGAGAGAGAGTGAGACTGACAGGAACGTTTGTTTGTCAATCGTATGAAATTTGAATTTACAGTTAATCCAAAAAAAAAAAAATTTTAACGAATTTTTATTTATTATTTTATATTTAATTCGACGTTCCAGTTTTTTTTAAAACGATTGAGAAAGAGAAAGAGAGAGAGAGAGAGAAAGAGAGAGACAGAAAATTTATTTATTATAAAAAAAAATGTGGTTTTAAAAAAAAAAAAGAGGCGTTAATTTTTGCGCTCTGATAACCTAAAAAAAATTTTTTTTTTAAACCTTTTTTTAAAAATTTTTTTTAGACGCCATCTTTCATTTTCTTCTGCTTATCGAATCCAAATTTTTTCCAATCGGATAATATGTGCACGTATTTATTCGTACGCAGAATATTAAAAAAAAAAAAAAACCGATCATAATAATAATAAGAGAAAAATTTTTTAAATTTCGTAATAGATATTTTTTTTACAAAGATCAACGACCGTATATCATTATTATTATTATTGTTATTTTATTATTTCTTATTATTATTATTATTATTTAAATAAATGATGGAATCGTTTTGTGATAATTGCGTGTACCTTCGTGTAAAAAAAAAAAAAAAACGAACCTACGAACGAACAATTATCATTTTTTAATTTTTTAAATAACAACATAATTATTATTCTACTTTACCCTCCTTTTTAATTTAATAATAATAATAATGATAATAATAATAATAATAAATTTGAAAAAAAAATTTAAAGTTTCAAAGGAAGTAAATACGTGTGAGAACTCGCGCGTGTGGTTTTTTAATTATTACGGAACATAAACAATTCGATATGGTATTTAATGTAATTAATCACCGAATACATTTTTTTTTTTTTTAAACAATAACAAACGTTTTTTAGTATTTCGGCCATTTAAATAAATTTGTTAACTTTTTAAGAAACGAAAAAACAAAAAAAATTAAAAATTCGAGTCGTAATATACGTGATACCCGTTAAAAACATTTTCAACCCCCTTTCATAAAATAAAAACGACTACGACGACAGGAAGAAGAAAAAGTTAACGTAAAATAATTTTTTTTTACTCTTTCCACGCACCGAATTAAATAATTATTTATTTATTTCGATTATTAATAATAATAATAATAAATAATTTTTGACTCACCAATAAATAAATTATCCATACTTTGTAAAAATCACGGGAAACAACAAAAACATTTTAACATATCGAATATGCGTAAGCGTGTGTGTGTGTGTGAAAATATCACTTTGTGACGCCGACCACGTGGAAATACCAATTGACCATCGGTGAGTTGTTATCGATGCAGGTACCCGTACTGGGTTAACGCCCGTATACTAGTACAGGTTTTTTCGTATAAAAATGGTGGGGACGTTTTCTTTCCTTCCTCCCTGGGTCATTTCATTCACTAAGTTTTTTTTTTTTATTTAATAATATTTTTAACATCTACAAACAACTTTTCCTTCTTTATTTTTCGAGGTAAAAAGTTCAATCGACGAATGACGAAATTAATAATAATAATAATAATATTTAAGAGAGGAAGAAAGAGAGGACTTTGCAATTATCATATGAACTTTTTAACCCAGAGCTTGTTTTTTTAAATTATTTTATCGATCATGTAAAAATGTATGTGATAACAAAAAAAAAAAATATTAACTTTCTGACCATTATTATAATAATATATTGAATAGATAAGGTAGAAAGAAAAAAAAAGATGACAGCAAGACGTTCAACTTGTCTTTTCTTAAAAAAGAGATCATCTTTGATATGAGGACACAACAACAACAAATTAAACATTTGGGTATCATAATATTAAGGATAAAATAAAACAAAAAAATGGAATCAAAATTTTTATTTTTTATTAAATTAAACAAAAAAAAAAAATAAACAAATTGTTTACAATGTTTATAAAACAAAAAAATTCAGTTACTTTCCAATAAGTTTTTAACTGTTATAAATAATTCAAATACTCTAAATAATAATAATAATAATAAATCATTCGAAACAAATTTAGTAGTAGAATAATAATATAAATGATTTAAATCACGAATGTTTAAACAATGGGATATAGTTGGTACCACTGCCAAAAAAAAAAATAAAAAAATTCGTTATACGAAAGTTAGTTTAAAGTTAATAACCCAGTTTTGATTATTATTATTATTATTATTAATATTTTTACCGGGTATTTATTGCAACATATTTTGAACTCTAGGTAAGTGGCCCACGTTATTTCCGGGTTCCTCATTTCACTTGATCCTTCTGAAAAAATATTTACCGACCTTTCTACTTGCGCAACATCCCATCGCCACGAATAATAATAATAATAATAATAATAATAATAATAATAATAACTTGATTTTTTACTATTTTAACGAACCGATTTATTTAGTTTACCGTGTCAATTTTTTTTTTTTTTTTTTTACGAATCAATCATTATTATTATTATTAATATAATTATAAATAATTCGAGTGTTATTTTAGCGTATTGACGTCACACGCGAATTTCATTCAATTAAATAACTTACCTTTCATAAACAAACCTTTCGTTAACCTTAAAAAATCTTTCGCAAATTATTTACTCGTTTGAGTAATAGAAAAATAAATAAACGAGTTTTTCGAGAGGGGGGCCTTTTTGGGTTCAGTACCTACAGCTTTTTATTTACTACGAACAATAAATAATAATAATAATAATAATAATAATAATAATAATAATAATAATAACGAAATACAACCCTTATTCAAATAAACGATTTAATTATTAATAATAAATTAATTTTTCGAAAATGAGTTTAATTAAAATTTAATGAGATTTTTAATGTTTAACTTATGATAACGATATTATTAATAAAATATAAATAATTTCAAATACGATAAAAATAAAATATATATTAAATATTAATAATTACAATTATAATATAAATTAAAAATAATAAATAATTCGATAAAGTATTTTACAAAAAAAACAAAAAAATTAACGTGAATAAATAAATAAATAAATAATAATAATAATAATTAAAAATTTTATTTTCGTTTTAAAGGAAAATAAGAGTTTTTGTTTTAAAATAATTTAAATGGTTTTTTTTTTTTTTTAAAACGAATTTTAAATAGAAAAATTTTATTTTATTTTTAATAGAAAAATTTACGATTTGATCACACGCACACGCACACGCACACACGCACACGCACGTGCACAAAAAAAATAAATAAACAGAAATAAATATAAAAAAATAAAAAAATTTTACGCGTTTTTCTTTTTTTTCTCTTTTTATTAAAAAATTTTTATTTTCTAGAAAAACATTAAAAAACATAAACAAAAAAAATATTTTGTAACAATAAAAAAAAAACAAAGTAAATAATAATAATAATAATGATAATATATGTATGTGTAACAGATTTTGATAAAAACCAAACATAAAAAAACATAAAATGAATCGTTTTAAAAAAAAAAAAAAAACATTTCCTCATAAAACAAGAAAATAAGTGTATTATTATTATTATTATTTTCATTTAAATATATATATATTATTTAAAATAAAATTATTTATTATTATTATTATTTATTTAATAGGTAATAAATTTATTTAGATTTATATAAAAAAAAGCATACGCGCACATATATATATACAATCGTTTGTTTAATCGAATCGATTGATAGATAATTGATAATAAATTTTTTTTTTTTTTTTTTGCTATTTTATCGATTGATTGATTTTCGATGGTAAATTATCTAAAGAAGGAAAATTTTTTTAAAAAGAAAAACTATAACTAGGATAAATAATTTGATAAAAAAATTATGATTAGATAAAAAAAAAAGAGATGGAATTATTATTTATCGATACGAACTACAAAATCTTTTTTCGTTATTATTATTATTATTATTATTATAGCTTTTACCCTAAAAAAATTTTAATTTAATTAATAATATAAATTACTAATAATAGATTTTTTTTAAAATTTAACTACTTATAGATAATAATAATAATAACCTTACTTAAAAGTAGTTTTGCAAAAAAAAAATAAACCTGGTATTAACTAAACAACAACAACAACAAACTGGATTTTCCATGTAAGCAAAAATTAGTTTATTATTATCATTATTATTATCTGGAATAAAAAAACTTGTAATTTTACTTTGCTTCTCCTCCTCTCCCCCTCCCCCCCCAATTCCAGGTATTTTTACAACATCCTAGAAAAGTAGCAATTTACGATGGATTTCGTTTGGATCGTAAAAAATTATACCATTAGTTCAAATGAATTAAATAAACAAAAAAAAAAAAAATGTTTATAATTAAATGATTAACACTAAAAAGAAGAAGGGGGGAGGAGAAGGGAGAGGAGGGGGAGAAGGGGGAGATGAAGAAGACATTTTTATGCTCCAAAAAAAAAATTTTTTTTATGATTTTTTTTTTTTTATTTTTTTATGACCTAAGTGAAAAGGCAATTTATCTACTTTTTTTTTTATATATATATTTATTTCGTCGAGACTAGGACAACATAAACGCGATTGAAAATGAGAAAAGTATACTGCTACTACTACTACTACTACTACTACCACTGCCACTACTACTATTAAACATTTGGTTGGTAATTACACATCCGATAGATAGTAATTAGGAAGGTCCAAACATGTGGTGGTACCTACTACTACTACTACCTCCTGGCATTTTATCCGAGGTCAAGTATTTATATTATACAGTTAACAATTTTTTTTATTCATACATTCGTCGGCAAAATACAAAAAAAAAAAAAAATCATTCAAATTGATTTGATTCGATTACATGTGAAAATAATCACATACATCCACCTCCTACTCCACCTCCTCAACCTTATACTACTCTAATACTTTTATCATTTTTATTATACAATTTAAATTATTTTAAAGTAAAAAAAAAAAAAAAATTTCCATTATTTATTTACAATTATTAATAATAATAATTTTTTAGGGCAAAAAATAAAAAAGTCATGTTAGTTATTTTCCCGATATGTATTCATACATAAATTTATCATTATTATTATTATTAATAAGTAATAAAATAATAATAATAATTTTTTATAGGTTGAAAAATAGTTCCGTGTGAGGCGTTATTAAAAACCGCGAAAAAAATTTTTTAATAATATTTATTTATTCGTAAATATTTTTTTTAAACCTTTAAAAAAAAATAACGGTCATTTTTGTGTTTAAAAAAAAGTTTTCCGGTTAAAAGAAAACCGTTTTCGTACCTCAAAAAAAAATTTTTTTTTTACGCGTAAGGCAAACATTTATTATTATTATTTATAGATACGAAGGTGAAAATCATTCGTTAATTACGACAATTTAAAGCGAATTAATTTAATAATAATGATAATGATAAAACCTCTCACGCATTCTAAATTATATTGCCTATAATTACATATGTGCGTAAATTTTTTTAAAAAATACGTATTTAATAATAATGATAATATTTTTAAACCTTTTTACAAAGAAAAGCATTAAAACTGGTTTTCCGTTGGTCAGTTCGGAAAAAAAAATTAGTATTATTATTATTATATTTTTTTTTACGATAGAAAAATAGGACGGATGTTAAGAAGAAACGAAAAAAAACAAAATGGCGACCAAAAAAAAATTAATAAATAAATAAATTTACAAAGGTGATAATTTTACAAAAAAATTTTTTTTCTTTTTTTTTTTTTTTTTTTAAATAAGCAAATTGATATGAATGATTATTATTATTATTACATTTATAATATATATTAAATATAATAAAATATAGCATCGACCTTATAATGATAATAATGATAATAATAATAATAATATGTACAGATGAGACTAGTTTTTTTTTATCATCTAATAAAGCTCGGCTCCCTTGAGATAGAAGTTAACATTAGCAAAAGTACACTTAAAAATTTTTTTTTTTTTTTTTTTACATTTATGATAATTTTCAGCAGCAAAATTTTTTATAAACGACACAAAAAAAAATGAAAATTTTAATAAATTATTATTATTATTATCATTTACATAAGAACGGTATTATTATTATTATTAGTAATTTTTTTTTTATTTTTATGGCACTTAAGTGATAAGTGACATTTTTTAAAAAATAGTTTCAGTTCTTTTTCGTTTAAATAAAAATGTTTTTATTAATAATGATAATAATAATAATAATAATAGGGGAATCAAAGCAACGCGCGACGACATTTTTTTTTTAATAAGTAAATAAATAAATAAATAAATTCGAGTTGTTAAATTTAAAGCAGAGACAAAACAACATCCAGCAACATACAAAATTTATACGATATTATTAATTATATATATATATATATATTTACACGATTATTATTATTATTATTATTAAAAAATTATGTTAAGTGTAAAATTAACGAAATAATAATAATAATAATAATAACAGTAAGTTTTTAATTGTTTAAACAATAAAAAAAAATTAAAAAATTAAAAAAACTCGAGATTAATTAATTATAAACGATTTAACAAGTTGATAGTAGGCACTTTTTTTTCCCATAAATTTATATCGGAGATATGTATGAGAGAGAGAGAGAGAGAGAGAGAGACAAAGAGAGATAATATGTATATTATAAAGTATTTTAAAATTATTATTATTATTAGTACGAGCAAGAGTATGTAAATATGTATATGTACATAATCAATCGTTTATAAACTTTTTTTAGAGTGTGTAAAGAGAGAGAGAGAGATAGATAGAGAGAGATAGATAGAGAGAGATAGATAGAGATAGAAAGAGAGAGAGAGAGATAGAGAAAAGTTTGTCGTTAACTCGTTTTAAAAAAGATTTTCTTAGTAAAATAATTTAAATTTAATTTTTAATAAGCGAAACAACACATATAGAAAAATTATTATTTCCTCTCGTTAATATTAAATTTTTTTTTTTATGTACATAAAAAATTATTAATATATATATTATATAAAAGTTATTATTATTTTACTAAAGGCATAATAATTAAAAAAAAGCAAGAGTGTGAGAAGAAATGAAAAAAAAATTCATCATGCAATAAGAAAAAAACATGGCTGTCGTTTTGTTCCATTTGTTTCGTTTAATTTATTAACTCGAGAGAGAGAAAATTATTATTATTATTATTATTATTATTATTTCGTTTTTTATGCATATTCCGTGTCGGTAGATAGACTTCTATCACCGAAAGAATAATTTCTTTCTTTATAATAAGGTAAATATTCTTCTTCTATACCTTCGGGAGTGCCAACATCGGAAAATGTTCTTCTCGAATGAGCATAAGAAATACTTTTTTGATAACTGAAAAGTTGCCTTTCCAAACTATAATTTTCCGATTGCAAAGCAGATATTTCTTTTCTAAAAAAAAAAAAAAAAAAAAAAGGAAATTTTCCATTTTCTTCTTGACATTTTCACGACGGTAAAAAAAATTTTTTTTTTTTTTTTAATTTAAATTGATTATTCAATTTTTTTTTTTTTTTTGTACGTGAATTTTCACTTTTATTTCTTTACCGTTTTTTTTTTTATGACGAACGACCTTTAAAAAAAAAATTCCATTACGTCGAAACCGAAATAACCGACTTTTTTTTTTTAAAGACATTTTATTTCCGGTCGTCGGTAAAAAAAAAAAAAAAAAAAAAAAGGATTCCTCTTCCCACAGGTAAAAAAAAAAAATCCCTCGAGGGCTTTTGCAAAAAAAAAAAAAAAATTGCTTTTGTTCCGAGATTAATCTCAGCTTCTGAAATCTTGTTTTTGCTAACTGACTGACTAACTGACTAACTAACTAACTAGTTACTAACTGTTAATCCTAACTATAAAAACCCACAAAAAAAAGGCTATCATCAAACAATATCGAATATAACGGGAATGTTAACCGGAAATTAACCAAAACGTCAACCCATTTTTTTAAAACAACCATTAAAAACGCGGTAAAAAAAAAAAACATAAAATAAAAAATTCGATTTTTATATTAATAATAATAATAATAATAAATTCATTAAAATGTAAAATGGCTACCAACCTAGCATGATCGATAAGAAAAACAATAAAAAAAAATTTTCCTTTCTTTCAGTCTTTTGTTTTCATTTCTTTTAATCTTTTGTGTCGATTTATATAATTCATCAAAAGGTAAAAAAAAAAAAAAAAATGGTAACAATGGTCAATTTTCCTTTTTCCCTTTCTCCCTTTTCCCCTTCCCCCTCCCTCCCTTCCCCCCAGCCGTTTAAATTCGTTTGAAAAACTAAAACCAAAAAGAGAGGGTTTTTAATTCTTTACAGCTTAGAAAAATAAAATTTTTTCTTTTATTATTATTATTATTATTTTTGACGTTTAAATTTATTAAAACAATAGATATTATATATATATATAGAATTTTTTAAAAACTGATAACAAGTGATAAGAAAACAATGAACCTAATATATAAAATTTTACCTTTTTTTTATTATAAAAAAAATTTTTTTAAAATATTAAAACGTTAACTAAAACAATAACTCAAAAGTTTTTCTATATAAAAGTTTTTTTTTTTTTTTTTTTAGTTTGACAAATGTTTACTTTCCCCCCCCCCTCCCTCACCTTTTTAAATAAAATATGAAGTAAAAAATTTTTTTTTTTTTTAAGGAAAAAACGGCGGGACTCGAAAGGGAGATGGGGTGGAGGTGGAGGGGAAAGAAAGGAACGAATTTTGTCGCAAAAAAAAAATTTAATTTAATTTTTATGTTTACCTCATTTGAAAACTGTGTGTTCGACACATGTCATCGTATTTGTGATAGTTGGCTTGAAATAGTAAATAACTTTCGCACCATTCGATTTGTATACGAATTGAACTTTTTTCTGATAATGATGATGATGCCAATTCTTTTAACTAAAACCACGAAATAAAAAAAAAAAAATCATTGTCATCGCTATTAATTTTTTCTTTGATATTGTATTTTCTACTGCTACCACCACTACTGCCACGTATTCGATTGACCCGACACAAAAGGTTTAATATAAAAAAGGTTAAATTACTTCTTTAATGGTGACATTTGTTTCGATCATAATTCCTTCGTCTGCATTTTCTTGAGCGTAGTAATGACTGAAGGGTGAACCCGGTAATGGTACCGAATCAATTCTTCCCGTTTTTCGATGTTGATGTAAAACGTAAACGACCCAACCAACGTACCTGTAAATAAAAATTTTAATTAATGGGTTCCCAGGAGGGGGTAGGGAGAGGGGAATGGGGAGGGGGAATGTATTACGAACCTCAAATGATTTCGCGGTACGTTGTGAATATCTTTGTAAACCATATGCAATCGTACCATGTCCGAATGACAATCGGTTTTTAACGTCCATCCTTGTTTGTCTCTGTCGTAGCATTGTGCCACTTGTGGACTCGCCATCAAACTTTCCGTTTGAAGTCTTTGTGGATGAATGTTGGGTGACGATGTTAAATTTGTTTTAAATGAAAAATTAACTTCGCTTATCGTATTCGCAGCAATCATTTCAATTCTGACTTTAATTATTCCCTTTCTAACGAGATCTTCGAATTTAACGCGGGGATGCCATCCCTGAACTTTTCCCTCTATATCGGATACATTTTCAATAATACCCGAATCCATCAATTTTTCTCCTTCGCCCAAATTTACGACGTAACGGATACGGCACTGATGATCGAAACCGGTAAGTCGATTTAAATAAAAGGAAATTTTTTCGTGATCGTAAGGCTCTATGTGTGAGTGGGGATAAAGGGTGATGTTCCAATCGAATCCTCCAAAAGTAAAATAAGTCGATTCGAATTTAGAATTACCGCCACTACCACCACCACCACCACCACCGCTACCACTACTACCGCTACCACTTCTCGTTTGTAATGGATTTTTAGTAGAAGGAGATGATGATGAAGATGATGAGGAAAAGGAATGATGATGATGATGATCGGTTTGATATTGTGACGCGAACGTACTGAAAATAGAATGAGGCACTCGAAAATGTGTTTCATAAATTGTACGAACGTTACCCAATGTTAATTCCAATTGAAATTCTCCATTTGTATCGGTAAAATTTCTCTTATATAAATCGTTAACGGGTATGTAATTTCTATTACCGTGAGCGGGTGATTCGTATGTAAATTTTATTTGTTTACCGGTAAATGATTCGTTTACGCTAAAATGTTCTCTATTAAGAATGGTAAATGTAAAATCAATATATAAACGCATACCCTCGGATGCATTACGCCATACTAAAAAAACTCCCAATACTTTATCCGTACGAGAAAATGTTATTGCCCATTTTTGATACCCGCACATAAATTCTTTTGACGTTATGTCTCTTTCCAAATCTCTCGTAACACTTTTCGTTACGACAAATGTAAATACGTGCGTGTTTGTACGATCCTGTATCTTTACGAACCTGTATAAAAGCGCCATTTTTATTATCTTCCCGAACACAGCACCTTATTTTTTTATTCAGTGACATCTAAAATTAAAAAATTATACATAAAAAAACAACACACACACACATACTTCACTTAACAAAAATCATTTTATTACATCGAAAAATAATAATAATAATAATAATAATTAAACGACGATTGTTAATTGCGAAAAAAAAACAAAATAATTCCTTCTTTGTTAATATATCATTATTATTATTATTATTTTTGCGGTTAAAAGAAAATAAATTTTTTTTTTTGAAAACAAAGAACAAAATAAAAAGTAATGAAGAGTGAAAACAAACAAACACAAACACAAAAAAACAACAAACGCGAATGTGTGCGTGGGTTTTTATTCGGTCGGTAACAAACAAACAAACAAACAAACAAACAAAAAAATTTTCTTCTTTTTATTCTTCTTTATCTTAAAGCCCGACGACGAGTATTTAAACTAATAATAATAATAATAATAATAATAATAATACTAAAAAATATATATTTATATAAATATATATGAAATCGTGCGTAAGCGCAGGTGCGAATAAAGGCAAAATCAAAAAAAATTTTTTTTTTTTTTTTTTTTTTTTTATATGAAATAAAAACCCGAAGACGAAATTTTTTTTTAAAATACTTAAAATTTTTTTTTTTGTATATAAACCGTAAAAGGTTTCCGTTTTTTTTTTTTTTTTTTGTCTACTGCTTTTACGTCAAAAAAAAATTAAAATCAATTTCCTTTTATTGAAAATTTTCTTTTGTTCTTTTTTGTTTAAAAAAAAGAAAAATTTTATTCGGTTTTTTTTTTTTTTTTCTAATCATCTTATCAAATCGGATTTGGATTAATTAATCCTTTCCTTATTTTTTTAAATTTTAATTTAATTAAGAATTTTTTTTTTAAATCATCATCATTATGTAATAATTTAAATAATTTTGCAACGAAAAAACGATGAATTAAAAAAAATTTTTTTTTTTATTCTTTTATTTACCTGTTGAATGTAGATTCAAGATAAAAGAAATGCCGCCACCGCCACCTCCACCACCACCACCACCGCCTTCTTCTTGTTATTCCTTTCACGCGATGAAAAACAATAAAAAGTTTTTACGGTAAAATATTTCGATAATAACCGGCTAATAATAAAAAATAAAATTCTCTTCCCGTTGAGAGTTGACAACACATCCCGGAAAACTGTTTTACTGTTTCCAACTAAAGACAAAAAGGAACAAAAAAAAAAAAAAAAAGAAAGAAAGAAAAAAAAAGGTAAATGGGACAAAAAAGTTGCGCAAACCTTTTTGCGACGCATGAATCGATTTCGTTTTTTTTTTTTTTTTACAACGACCCAGAGAAGCTTCAAATTCTTCGTCTCTTAATCGTTTATTTATTAATTTCTTATTTCCTCCATTTTTCTTTTTTTTTTTTATATAAAATTTTATTACGTTATAAAAGGTACAAATTAATTGAATGACGCTCACACACAATTATTATCATTATAAAACTAATAAATTCGAGTAATTTTTAATAAAAATTTTTCACCTTTTATTTTTTTCTGGAAAAAATAATTATTAATAAATTTTTGTGGTAAATATTTTTTATATTTCAATGCCCTCCATCACAAAAAAAACCTTTAAATTATTATTATTATTAGATTTTTTTTTTCAAATTTCAAAATAGTTTTGGAATATTTCAAATCATTTTCGGTTAACTGAAATTGATCGCTTCGCCATCTACAGTGAAAATTTTAAAATATTACGCGTGTGGGCGAAATATCGATTAATCGAGATATCGAATTAAGTTTGCGCGCAACTCGAAGGTTCTCCGCCTTTTTATTGATTAACCGAAAAATTAACCTCATGGATGAATATTGTTAGAAAAATGTAAATTTTGTTTTAAAATTAATTATCATATTTTAAAATATATTATTATTATTGTTGTTTGGTTTTGTCGTGTAAACCGTTATTTATTTGTTTTTAATGCTATAAATTACGTAATTAAAGTTTTTTTTACGTTAATTAATTATCATTTTGTGTTTTTTGTATTTTCGGTTACATTTCAAATAAGGAAAAGGAATATGAATAAAAGGAAAAAATTTTATTATCGATTTATTGTATGTTTTTTTACATGTTGTCGGTATTTTTAATAACTTTGTGACATTAATTACTTATCATAACAGTTTATATGTTGCCTTTTTAAAAAATAAATAAATAAAACAAATCAAATGAAACCAAAAAAAAGAAAAAATGACCAATATAATAATGATTTTTAATTATTGAAATTATACATGTAAAGTGTTACTACTTTTTGATACCAATAAAATGTCAATAAATGTTTTTTTTTGTTTTTCACTTTAAGTTTGTTAAATTTTTCATTTATTAAAAAGAGTGTAGTATTATTATTATTATGAAAACCACATCAAATAATTTGATAATATATATATTATAAAATCATAATCCATGCAAACTTTGAGGAGAAGAACAAGTCCATGTAAATGTAAGTGTCACATGAAACCATGATTCAAAACTTAATAAAGAAAATAATGTTGTAATTATGTTGTTTGTTGCTAATAATAATAATAATAATAATTGATGTAATATTGCAGATAAAAATGATCCATCTAGATTTTTGGGAGAAGGGATAACATTTAAAGCTAAACTTATTGGAATATTAGAAGTGAGCGAAGCAAGAGGTGATAAAATGTGTCAGGATGCTCTTAACGATTTAAAAACGGCCATAAGAGCCGCTGGAGAACACAAACAAAGGATTACAATAAGTATTTCCATTGACGGATTAAAATTAAGGGATGAAAAAACGGGAGTAATTATCCAATATTATTTTTACATTAAATTTAAAACAACAACAACAATAATAAATTTCATTAATATTTTTTTTTTCTTTTTTTTCTTTCCAGGATTGTCTTTATCATCATCCCGTTCATAAAATTTCATTTATTGCTCAAGACATGTCCGATTCCAGAGCTTTCGGTTACATATTTGGTTCTCCAGACACGGGTCACAGGTTTTTCGGTATAAAAACAGATAAAACGGCGAGTCAGGTATTTTTTTTTTTCTTTTATTTTGTAGATTATCCACCGATTTTTTTTTTGTTTTCTAATTCTTGAAAATAATTTCAGGTCGTGATTTCAATGAGAGATTTATTTCAAGTAGTTTTCGAATTAAAAAAAAAAGAAATAGAAATGGCCAAACAACATACGGAACAACATCAAACAAAATATGGAAGCACGGGATTTATCGATTCGTTACATTTATCAAAAGTAAGTTAAATTTTATATTTTAATAAAATACCATTTATTTATTTTTTAAAAATTTTCCAGGATGAAAACGAATTTGATAAAAACAAGGGAAAATATTCACAATTGCTTAAAACAAGGTGCCTAAGTTCAAAATCAAACGAACCGAATTCGTCGTCTGATTTTAAAGTGCCAGATTCGGAAGCCATTGCGGATCTATTGGATTTAGAACAGGGAATCAATCAAATCGATAAAATATCGTCTTCTGATCCGTTCGGTTCACTTTGCAGGGATAATCCTTACGATCCGTTCGACGATTCTTTTTCAAATAAATTAAATCAACCGTCGAATGAAAAAGTTTTATCTGATATTATAACAAAACCTCATCATTTGGATAATTCTTCATCGGATTTAGATAAGAATTCTTCTTTTTTCGAATCCGTTCCATCAACGAGTAAAGCTAATTTTTTTTGCCAATTTTCTCCGGATTCATCCGAACCTGGAAAATTTAATAAAACCGAACATAAATGGTTCGAACAAGAAAATGATAACGTGTTTGACGATTTGAAAATAAATGGTAGTAATAATGAACAAATTACTTCTTCGTCCGCGGTTCTTAACGCTCCCGTTCCTCCCGAGTCCGAAACGGTAAGTGTTACTTTTACCTTTTAAAAAGTTTTATTTATTCTATGACATAGTTTTTTTTTTTTACCTTTTTTTTCTCATTTAGAACGACAGCATAAAAAGTCCAATAAAAACAGATTTGTTCACGGAATTGGATCCGTTGGGTACAGGTCGAGTAAAGCCCTACGTTGACAAGAAAGATTTTTTTCAAGATCTCAAAAATCCGCCGAAAAAAATATTAAAAGAAATAATTTCTGATGGAACGCTGGCTGACGCGTCATCTTCATATTTTCCGACGCAGTTCCCGAACGACAAAATCCTTAAATCGGGAAAAATTGAAGGGATTTCGGAATCTATAAAGGATTCATCTTTGACGGGGAAAACATCTAAAACGGATCCATTTGAAAATGCAGACCCTTTTAAAGAAACGGATCCTTTTCAAGAAGAAAGCTTTTTGTCATCAACGGGATTTTCTCCCATATTTGGTACCAAACCTTCTTTAGATGAAATATTTGATGAAAAAGCATCGTGGAAATTTGAAAAATTTAAGCCTTTTAAAGAAGAAAACGTTGAAAGCAATTCGTACTCGACTTCTTTTTCATTGTTTTCAAGTTCGACTCTTAAAGTGTCACTTCCGCCGGAGAGAACCGATACGAAAACTCATTCCCTTTCTAGTCCGAATACTAAAATAAATATGGCTGTTAACTCATTGGATGATTTGAATCAAAGAAAGCAAACGCAGCAAATTAATTTGGATAAAAACCTGACGGAAACGTCGGAAAACGAATCTCAAGTTTTAGAAGAACCTTTTGTAAAAAGTGAAATAAAAACTTCGGGTCCTAAACCGGATGTACTCAAATCCCCGTTTAAAAATAAATTTTCTTCTTTAAGTTCTCCGACGGAAACAAAAACTGAAAAAAGTGTGACTAAATTATATTCGAGTGTTGAAGTTTTAGAAGCCACGACTCCCGATCCTCCTCCTAGAGCGAAAACCGCCGTTTTTTCAATAAAACCTCCACCCTTACCCCCTAAAAAGTTAAATCAAACCAATGTCAAACCTCCTGCGAGACCACCATTAGGCGAAGAACGAATTTTACATTATGATCATGTACAGCAAGATAAAGTAGATAGAATTAATTTTAATGAAAAATTAAAAAATGTTAAATTAGATGGGAAATCATCAGAAGACAACGGGTCATCATCACAACACAATGATTCGGTTAATAAAGTTTCTTCGGAACCTTTTTTCCCTGTTTTACTTCCTCCACCTAATCGGAAAACATCCATCGATTCCAATAAAACCAGTTCGAAAAAGCCCGCGGATGTTAAAACGGAAATAGCTCCAGGAACCACAACCGGTTCGGTATTAAATATAAAATTAATGCAATTGGATAGTGCAGGATTAGAAAATTTGGCGGCCACGTTAGGAGTACCATCGAAAAATATATACAGTATGACGTTGCAAGACTTGACAAAAATGTTAACAGAAAAATACAAGAGTTTAGGTGGTGGAGATCAAGAAAAAAAAACCGTTGATGACACTTTCGAAGCCGATTTCGATTCGAATTTTTCTAAACCGGAAACGGAATCGAATACTACGTATGATAAATACGCAGTTTTTAAAGAACTCATTCAAAGTGAATGTAATGAAGCGTCTCCTTTTCAAAATCAGAACGAAAGTGAAGAAGTGAATTCGGAAAATTTTAAAAATTCTGAAAATGAAATTCGACAACCGGAAGATCCAACGGAAGACAAATATGCAGCTTTACGTCAGCTTTCGTTAAACGTTCAAGAAACGGAAAAAATTGAAGATGGTGGAAAAATTGCGGAGGTTGAAGAAATCGAATCAGATCCGAAAAAATCTATAAGTACCGGAAATCCACCAGAAACGAGCACCATTAGTAAATCAACGGAGAGTCAAACGGCTAATACTAATGCGGAATATGGAGACTGGGCATCCAACACCAGCTGGTTAAAACTCTCGGAAACGGATAAACCTAAAGAAATTCAAACATTATCGAGCGAAAGTCAATTTTTCCCTCTCGAAGATGATTTTTCCGACGAAAAGAAACCATCAAGTTTCAGAGACAATTGGGCAACATTTGACAAACCTGAATTTAACGAAACGTCGAAAAAAAAATCCCTAGAAAATTTATACGAAAACGAAAATTCACCATTTTCATCGGACGGTAAAGAAGAAGAAAAAGAAATACCGTTTCATTGGCATCAGAATGTCGGAAGGAGGAAAAAATGTAAAGAAATGTGTTGGAAAGACGACGACGAATCCTGGGATGATTATTCACCAAAGGAAAGCATCTGCAGCGATGAATCCTCACGGGAAGATGGATCTCCCGACGTGGATCCCGATAATCAATTTGAAAACGCTTTATGGACGATGAGAGATAAAATACCAAAAATGAAAAATTGGAAAACTAAAGGTAAACAACAACAGTGGATTCATAATGATAAATGGCAACAAGACGAAACCGAAGATGAATTTGATGATTTTTGGAGACGTCAAAAAGATAGGTCGGCAAGTTACGAAACAACAAAACGAAATTATTGGAGAGGTAAAAGTTACGACGATCAAAAAAAACGTTACGATTGGTGCAATACTTGGGGGGAACACTGCGAAGATAGTGGCGGGGGTGGTGGAGGAAGCAGACGTTCTCATTATTATGGAAATCGTAGGAAACGAAGCGAATCAGACCATGAATACCGGAAAAGATATGATTCTGATGCTTCTGATAAAGAATGTATATGGTCATTTCAAAAAAATTATAGCGAACCACAAAATCGAACGGGAAAACAAAAATCACATCTTTACGGTTCGAGTCGTCCATTTAAAGACTGTTCAGACTATCATTACGGATCGTATGGTAAACACCGTAAGGAAACATCATCACAAAAACGTCCCAACAGTGCTTCAGAATGTAAAAAAAATTATGAAAAAATGTTCAGCCCTTATTACGGTAACCATTCGTTTAACGAAACCGGTGATAAAACGTACCCGGGTAAAAAAAATATAACAAAAGAAGAATTTTTTAATCGTAATCCGAAAGACGTTATTATTAACAAATGCAGAAGCGATTTCGAATTCGATATAACCGACAGAAGGATAAACAACAACAGCAGTCAAAAATTTAAACAGAATAAAATGAGGGGATACTTAGGATCGCCCCCTCCCGGAAAAAAAGATAATAATTATACCGAAACGGGTATTGTGGAAAAACCGGAAACGTCATCTACTCGATTCAGGTTCGATAGCGAATCCGATAATTTCGATAAAGATAAAATATCTATTGACACGTCATCAAAATACTCATTCGATAAATCGAATCGATGGTCATTGACGAATGGTAAAACGGAAGAGGAAATAAATACGTTTAATCCGAAAAATACTACGATCGATCCATCATTTTCCACCGCCATAAAATCACCGAAAAAAAAATCGAACGATAATAATTTCGATAATAATAAATCGATTAATTGTAAATCGACGGTTAAAAATCAATTATCGAAAACTTCGAGACAAGATCCATCATCATCATCATCCACCCTTTTAAGAAAATCAGATTCAATAAATATTTTCTCAAGGGATAATGATCCATTTGAGGGTGATGATTTTTTTAGTAACGATTCATGAATATCATCTCCCCTCCCTCCCCCCTCCTTCATCCCCCCTTTTTTTCTGTAATGATAATAACAATAATAATAATAATAATAAATCTTTTTATTTAATTTATTCTAATTATTATCCTTAATCACTAATAATTAATAAATAAATAAAAATTAATTTAAAGGGAATTTTTAATCGTTTTAAAAAAAAACGACGTCAATTATTTCAACATAAAAAAAAAAAATGGAATTTAGAGTTTGAATTTAGTTATGATTAAAGTTATGATTAATGTTATGAAACGTTAAAAAAAAATTACATTTCCTCGTACGAATAAGGTTTTCCTTGAATAAATAAATTATCATGTATTATTTAGATAATCAGACATTCAAAAATTCGTTTTACGTCCATTCCATAAAATTAAATTATTACTAAATACGTAAGTAAATTTAAGTAGTAGTGGTGGTAGTGGTAGTAGTAGGGGTAGTAGTAGTCGTGGTAGGAGAAGGTGAGTTGAGTGTATACCCGGTTACTACTACTCGTTTGTTAGTTTATTTTTCTCAAAGAACAAACATTATTATTATTAAATTTAGTTTTTCATTTCATTTTCGTGAGAGAACATTTAAATTTTTTTTAATAATAATGAAAAAATTACAAATTTTAACAATTTTTTTAATATTAAAATTTTCATCATCCGTAAGTAAATTATTTATTTATTTATTTATTTAAAGAAGAGAAAAAAAATCAATAAATCGATAATTAATACGAAAAAAAATTTTTTTTAATTTGTTTTTTTTTTGTTAATGAATTCATTTTATCATCATTATCATCGTTATTTTATCCGTAAATTTTATCAGGTATTTATTTATTTATTTAAAAATAAATTGAAACGAGGTTTTTTTCTTTAAGAACCTGAACAAGTAAATCGAAGGTACTCGAATCTTGTCAACCTAGAACTAAAAAATTATTATTATTATTATTATTATGACGCATTTTGGAAAATCCATCGATTATGCTATTTTATTAATTAATTGACCTAATTACAAATTAATTGAATATTGTGGTTGTTGTTGTTGTGGTTGTTGCGACAAACAAACAAAAATTTCATTTCTATTATTAACGCACGAGTAATTGTTAAAATAAATTTTGTAATAGAAAATGGCGGCTAGAAAAAATTAGTTAATAAAAAAAGTTTACAAATCGTGACTTTGTTTAATTTTTTTTTTTTTTTTTTTTTATGTAAGATAAATATTATGTAGTTTGACGGGTAGTCGATCAAAGGTCTTTAATAATAATGATAATAATGATGTAGTGACGCATTCAAATTTTTTTGTTTTTGTCCAGTTACCTGCTAAAGTTTACGTTGGTAAAGATGGAAATGTCGGAGCATCTTTTGGAGGATATTCGGCAAGTGCAGGTCTTGGTGGAATATTAACGGGAGATGTTGCAAAAGGAGGACTTCATGCGGAAGCCGGTACACCTCAGGGACATTTTGCTTCTGCCGGTTTAGGCGGTTCCGTATCAGAAAGTAAGTATTAAAATAATAATAATAATAATAATAATAATATAATTGAAATAATTTATTTTTTTTTTTTCATAGGTGGCGGCGCTCACGGTCATACTTATTCGAAATCGGGTAAAATCGAACCTGTTGTTGTTTCCGGTGTACAATCTTCGGAATCTTCTGGAACCAGCAACGTACAAACATCTAATAACGTTAGAATAGGTGGTGGTGGTGGCGTCGTTGAAGGACCGCAAAAATCGACATTTTTCGACGACATATTTAATGTGAGTCAAAATTAATTATTTCTTTATTAATTTACATTCGTCATTCTAAAAAAATTTTTTTTTTTTTTCAAATTTTTCAGATTCCGATTTCAACATTAAACGCAGTCAATCATTACCTTAATAATAGAAACAAAGGTACCACCATAACAAAAATTCATTGAGTTCAAGGGTCAAAAAGTCGTTAAAAGAAAAAAAACTTTTTTTTTTTTTAATTTTCAAAATAAATTTTTTACGAAACTTTTTTTTTCTTCTTCTTTTATTGTGTAATAAAATTTTTTTTTTTGCAGATTCATCATCATTATCAACATCAACCTCATTATCTTCATCTTCATCATCATCATTATCATCTTCTTCATCTTCTTCGAATGAAAAAATTGATGAAAGTTCTTTGGGTAAAAGCGTTAATGTAATAAACGTAAGAAAATCAAGGCCTAATTTCAACGATATTTTTAACGTAATTTAATTTTCATACCATTTTTTTTTTTTTTCTAGAAAAACAAATCGACATTTTAATTATTATTATTATTATTACATTTTTCAGATTCCAATATCCGTTTTGAATTCCGTAAATAATTTACTAAATGGATAACGGAAATAAGTAATCGGGGAGGGGGGAAAAAAAAAACAATAAAATAATTTTTTCTTCTCTCTCTCTCTCTCTTTTTTATTATAACCAACGACACCGTGTTGGATATTATTGTTATTATTATTATTATTACATAATTTATGATAAATAATTTTTTTTTAAATAATAAATTAACTTAAATTAAAAATAAAAAAAATGGAGGACGGGGTATCAAGAAAAAAGAACGGAAATTAATTTTAAAATATTTTCCATGGAATTATCATCATCATCATCATCATCATCATAAAAGTTATTTAATGAAGGAAAAGAAAACAAAAAAATTTATTTTTTAACGTTTATTGCTCTCTGTTAATTTAATATAAATAAATAAATAAAAAATATTTAAAAAATGTCGTCGAGTCGTGTTTGATACTCTTCAGTCTTGGTCACACAGTTACCTCATCCGTAAATCTGCTGTTATCATCTAAATTGATAACGATGCTGTGAGTTTTAGCATGTCCAGAATGTAATCTATCGATATTTGAATTCGTATATTCCTTTCCATAACCATCTAATTTTTCATCCCCTCCACTACCTCCCCGATGACTATTTATTTTATCGCATAAATTACATTCTTTTTTATATTGCGTATGAGAACCGGATGTGGTTGATGATGATGAGTCTTCGTTTGATTTTCTCACTTTTCCACCGCAAGCTCGACAATTTTGTTTCTGTTTAGAATTTGATTTTGTTTTACTTACGTGAACTATTGTTGTCACCTTATCACAATTTGATCCCATTTTTTTATTTTTTCTATTATCATTCCCAACCCCCTTCCCTTCTTCTTCTTCCTCTTCTTCATCTTCCTTTTCTTCTTTAATAGATTCCCCGGAATTATTATCACCGGGATTTATTTTCGACGTTTCGGAAGACATTTTAGTAAAATCTTTCCTTGCTATTTCTTGCATCGCTGCTATTTTTGCAACGTAATTTTTATTACCTAATTTTATGTATGTTTTTTTTATAGATTCTAATTCTATGCAAATTTTTAAAAATTCTTCCTGTAAGTAGACAACAAAAAAAAAAAAAAAGATTTTTTACTTCATTAAATACATATTTAAAATTTCCTCATTCGCGTTTGGCACGAGAAAACAATTTTATGAGAAACGTAATTGGCAACGATATCAAACAACATGCAAACAAACAAACAAACAAAAAACCGTTTTGAGGACTTGTTTCGTGATTTATAATTAACATAATTGCTGACCTGTACTTCGCATTCATCGCTTAAAACTTGTTTTGTCACGGCTGTGGAATCTATCGAAGGATTTTGTTGAGAACTTAATGATTTAGGTTTAACTAAAAATGTTGTTGTTTGAGGTTTTGAAAATGTACTGGAACTTTCCTCGAGTTTACCTTGACCTCTAAAAACTATATACATCTGTAAATTAAAAAACAAACAAATATTTAAATATTACTACTACAAACAACTTTCTTAATGACTTTTTCTCCCATCAACAACAACAACAACAACAACAACAACAACCGGCGAAGTAATTATTATTTATATAGATTCCCCCCAAACCCCCCCCCTAACCCCGGGGGCTAATGGGATTTATTTAATAACGTTTCGCTGAACAAATAACATACCTTACTACCAAAAATCAAACACAAAAGAAGGGTAACCGTAAGCTGAGTGTAACAAAAAAAAATTATGTATAATAAATCTGGATTAGCCGGCTTTCGAAGGAAAAGCCTGGAAAACAAGAAAAAATTTACACAGTTTTTCCAATAGATTATAAATTATTTAATAATAATAATACTTACATAGATACTTTTAAAAATACCGTGAGTAGGAATTCATTATAAATAGCCATTGAAATAAAACGACTTTCGTTAAATTCCGAAGGAGCTTTTCGTACGACAATACATAATCTTATACCCCATATTAAAAATAATACTTCCACTGTAAAAATATTTTATTTATTGAAACATTAAAAAATAAATGGGGAGAGAAGGAGGGGAAAAAAGAAAATTACAAGAGGTAAATGAATGGTCCCACCAATCCGTTCGACATAGATACGCTTTTAAATCTTCTGCTGTTTTACCGGTTATGACAAATGGTGGTGCCACCAAAGTTCGTATTATTAAAAACAGGCAAAATATTCCGACGATCATACCCAATCTTTTAAGTAAATCGAAATCTGTTATTCTAACCGGTTTTGCTGATCTCACGTGAAAAATAACGGATATTCTAAAAACCAAAACAAAAAAAAAATATATAATTTCCGAAACGGGGGGGCGGCTGGAAAATTTTTTTAAAATTACCGCCAAGTTTTAAGCATTAAAGCTCCGTATGTAAGTGAAAATCCGATTTCTCTCAACCAAACTCTTAAGGTACATGTTCCCAAATTTGGAGTTGGATACATGACGATAGGCTAAAAAAAAAAGAAAGAAAAAAAATTAAAATATCCAGAAAACAAAAAAAAACGTCGGAAAATTTTTACACTCACCGTACAATACATGAAAAAAGCTCCCAATATTATAAATCTAAGAAGAACAGGGCTTGCCGCTCTAACAACCTGTTAAAAATAATTTTCTTATATTAATTATTAAAATTTGTTTGTATATAATTTTTTTTTTTTTATCAAAGAATTTTCCGTCATTGATAAAAACAACAAAATGGTTGATATTATTTAATAGAAAATATATTTTCGGTTTGACAGACAGAGAGAAAAAAGGAAAAGGAAACATTAATTTTTTTTTTTTTTTTTTTTGGTAATAACAGACTCACTTTGACATTTCCATATTTCCATGTGAATACGAGAATGGCGGGGAGGCATAATATTATCATGCAAGATAAAACCAAAATGATTGTGCGCATGACCCAATTTAAAGAAGCTATACAGGGACGTTTATCAACGCAAAAATCGCAACCCTCAGCGCAGGGTAAACATTCGAAAAAATTTGACTTTTCGTAAAGGTTTTCTTCCCCCTAAAACAAACTTACACAACTTTACAAAAACTTCTCCATCTAACATTCCAATCTTTTGTCCATTCATTCAAAAAAAAATTTTTTTTCATTAACGGAAATTTCAACTTTACTCATTATTATTATTATTATTACTTTTGTCTGTTTGGTGACCTTTGGACACAATAAACGTTTAACTTACCATAACAAATTTTTCGTACTCATCTTCTACAACCGTTCCATTATAATATTTATGTTCGGATTTTGTATCAGGATGATAAAATCCTCTTTTGCATAAACATTTATAACTTCCTCTACGAAATCCGAGACCGGATATGGGTTCGCACTAAATAAAAAAATGGACGATTGTTCTTTTCTGGGGATTTGTGGGGATTTTTAACTGGATATGATACTACTACATACCCTCGTTGTTTTCTTTTTACATTTATGAGATCCCGCAAAAATATTTAGTGCCGCATTTCCTGGAGGCGAAGGACATTGATCGATATCAACCCTACGTAAATCAATGTCTATACCACTTGTTCCCCTAAAAAACAATTTTAATAATAATAATAATAATTCTTTGCTGTTTTTTTTCTTCTTCTTATTCAATTAAAGACCAAACAGTTCAATTTATTTATTATCTAAAAGGATTAAACCGCACATTAAATTATATTAAAAAAATATATATATATATATATTTATTATCATTATTTTTTAAACAATTTATTCATATATTAATATTAAATTAAAAAAGAGAGAGGGAGGAAGGGAGGGGAAAAAGTTTTGTAATGAGGGAAAAACATCACGCGACTACCGATCATTATAAATATGGCGGACGTAAAACGGAAGTAGTAAAAGAAAAAAAAAATATTATTTGTTTTATTCTCACATGAAATAATAGGTTCCATTTTTATACCCGAAAAAAGGTACGGTATACGTGAGCATCCATATATTACCACCACCACAATCGTAATAAGGTTTACTCCATTTTCCATCTTCGTACCTAACGGATAATATTTCATCCGGCATCCATGATTTATGTGTCGTGTCATTATACGTAAATGCAATAAAACCTGTCGATGAAAAATCAATAAATCAATAATCAATCAATAATAATTTAATCATTCCTCCAAAAATAATAACATTTACTAATAATAATAATTATTATTAGAAATTAATAATTTGCAAAAGGCGTCATTATAATCAAGTTACAAATCCTTAAAGTCACGTGACGTATTAAAATAAAATAAAATTATTTAATTAAAAAAAATTTAAAAGCATCATTATTATTATTATTATTTATTTATTTATTTATCTATTCAAAACTGGATTTTTTATCGTTTTAAAATAAAAAAAAATTATTAATTAATTACGTAATAATAATAATAATCGTAAGGGAGAATGAATGAAATCAATGCGACCTGTGTAGAGAATGAATGAATGAATGGAATTTTTTTTTGTGTTAACGATAATGATAATGATGATAATCGTCAAGGAAAACTTTTTTTTTAAAAGTGGAATTAGACAATGTTTTTTTTTTTTTTTTTTTTAACACACGAACAGATGTTTTTTTAACGAAAAAGGTTAAATAATAATAATAATAATAATAAATATAATTAAAAATTAACTTTGAGTTAAAACAAAAAAAAAAAAATGGCGGCGTCGAGGTCAAAAGTTAATAATTAAATTTTAATAACGGTTAATAACATTTTATGTAAAAAAATATTAAAATTTACAATTATTAAAATTAATTTTTTTTGTGTGTGTGTGCGTGTGTGCGTGTCTTCAGCTCTATCGATTATTTTTTTCCAGAACAGTAATAATAATAATAATAACAACAACATCATAAATCGACATAGAAAAATTGAACTGCTTACGTCAATAAAAATAAAAGAACAATTAAAAAAAAAAAACAAAACTCAAAGTCTGATCGACTGTAATAATAATAATAATAATAATAATAATAATAATAATAATAATAATAATAATAATAATAATAATAATAATAATAATAATAATAATAATAATAATCTTATTTAATCTTTTTTCTCCGTAAAAAAAAAAAAAAAAAAATTCCAGTCGGAAAATAAAATATTTTCCTGTATATAAAAGGAAAAGAGAGGAAAATTTTTTCGATTTATGTAATTTGTAACTTTATTTATTTATTTATTTGAAAAATTCTAATAATCTTTATTCTCTCTCTCTACCCCCCCCCCTCGTATTTATTTTATTAATTTTTAATTTAAAAAAATGGGAAAAAGAAAAGTTGAAAAATTTAATGAGATGGGGGAATTTTTTTTTTTGGATTTTCTCAATATATGTAAATAAAAGAAAATTTCGTATTATTTCATTCAAACTTTTCTTTTCAATGGAAAATTTATAATAAAAAACATTGAAAACGTTTGGAAAATCATTAGAGAAATGAGTATGTATAAATAAAATTGATGAAAATGTTTCTAAACCCCCCCTCCCCTTCTCCCCCACCCCCATTTAAATGTAAATATTAACATTTTATTTTGCGAATGAATGAAAGAAAACAATTTTAATTAAAAAATTTATTTTATACCTTAAATATATATATTTTACTTATAGGTGTGTATCCGGGGGGAGTGGGGAAGAAGGGTAGGGGTGTGGGGGGGAAAAGAAAAGAAGAAATTTTACCTTTTTTAAGTTGATCGTGATTTTTAATTATTCTTTCCGCCGATTTTCTCGCAATGAAAAACCATTCCGACGTATTTGTTATATATTTATATTCAATGGCAAGATTTTTCGTCAATATTGGTCCATCGGGAAGTCGGAAAGCATAAGGGCAAAACAACCAATAATCTTTATATTGATATTCGTCGTAACAATTGCCCCCCGCAAAAATATCATCATCGAATTCGACCATTCCTACAACGCTTGCATGAAGTAAATATTCCGAACTTAATACATCCGGATCTGCATATTTCCAAAGTCTTGTCAACATGTTGGCTCTATTAACGGCAACATCGGCTTCGACACGAAACCTTTCTTGTGCGTACCTGTCGACGACACCTTCTCCTAAATTTAAATCCGTACCGGCGGTACAATTTTCACCGAGTACGTGTTGCGTTTCGACGATTCTTAAAAATTTCGTTACTATATCTATTTCGAATGGTAATTTATCGTCTGCTACGACGTCATCATTTTCCTTTGGTTTTATTTTATTATAATTTCCATCATCCGTCGCCGATGTGAGATGGTGCGAATGACTTTTAATAAAATTTTTTTCTAATTCTTTTAATGTGACGTCATCGTTTGTTAATATAACGGATATATTTTGAGAATTGTTGTATGTTTCGTTTAAAAAATAATTTTTTACGGGGATTTGTTGTTGATAAGTTCCTATCATCTTATCATTCGTGATAAGTTTTGTTGATGAACGTTCTAAGGCACCAAAATCGTGATTTAATGATCTATATATATTTGTACGTGATTTTTTATGCCTTATACTACTTTTTCCTCCTCCTCCCGTCGACGATGACGACGATGATGATGATGATAAACTTTCACAAGAAAATAATATTAAAAAAAATAACACGAATAAATTTAATAAATTATAATTAATTAATATTATTTTGTGCATTTTAAAAAAAAAATTTTTAAACACTTTATTAAAAAAAAAAAATTTTTTTACGATTTTTTTTTTATGTTTTTATGTTTCATCAACCGTATCTGACACATATTTAAATAATTTATTAATAATAAATAATATTTTATCATCACATGTAAATAACTCGTTTTTTTTTTTTTTTAATGGATTTATTTATTTAATAATTGGATACGCGTTTCATTTTTTTTTTTTTTTTGGTAACTTTTTGCATTTATTTATTTATTTATTTTTTTTTTTCTTATAGTAAATTATGATTACAGCATCAATTGAGCGACACACCCCAACTAGATCTGGACTCCTCCATGAATTTTCAAAATGATAAAAAAAAAAAATCGCGCAGACTCCCAATTCAATCGATATTTCAAACAATTTATGTAAGGTAAGATTTTTTTTTTTTTTTTTAATAACATCTTTAGTTTTACCCCTATTTTTTCCCCCCTCCCCGGGATGAAATTAAAAGTAAACGAGATACCAATTTAGAAACCATAGAAAAATTTTTTTTTTCATTTTAACTTTTTTTTTATTAATAATTTTACGTAAAAAACTTTTCCCCTTTTTTTTTATTTAAAAAATTATATAAATTTAATATTTTCAAATGTTTTTTTTTTTTTTTTTTTTTTTTTGAGGAAAAACTTTTGGATTAATAAAACAACAAAAAAAAAAAAAATTTTCTGCACATGCGAATTTTTTTCCCCGAACGAGAATGCGTAAAGTTAGTAATTAAATAATAAATTATAATTTTCCGACCGGAAGTATAGATGTTACACCGGATATTAATGATAATCGTGAAATTATGACGATTCGTAAAAGGATACAAAAAAAAAAAAAAAAAAAACTTTTAGCCTTTAAACATTCTCACATTTATTTATTATCATTTTTAAAAAAAATAATAATAACAAAATTATATAAAAATTAACATTACAAAACCATTTAATAATTCTATTAATAATAATAATAATAATAATAATAAATATTTAAGTTAATAAAATTTAAAATCCGACGACGTTTTTTAAAAAAAAAATTATATTTATTTATTTATTTATTTTTTGATTTACATTATTTTTATCCATCGGCTCGAAAGTTTTTTATTAATAATATTATTAAACTTTTATTTATTTATTTTTCCGAAAAATAAGAAAAAGTTATTGACATTGTTTTTTTTTTTATAAACATAAAATATGTTTTGTTATAAAACTTTCAACACAACCCAATTACAAGTTTAAAAATTT